GGGGGTGTGGAGGGGCGGCTGTCTGGGCTGGCCATGCCACGGGAGCCGGGGCACTACCGGTTCCTCCTGGCCCAGGGCGTGCGGCACCTGGTGTCACTGTCAGAGCGGCCACCCCCGCACCATGGCTGCTGCCCTGCTGTCCAGCTCCACCGGCTCTGTGTACCTGACTTCACCCCCCCAACGCCTGGGCAAATCCAGACCTTCCTGAAGCTGGTGGAGGAGGCCAACGCCCGTGGGGAGGTATGGTGGGGGCCAGAACCAAGGGGGTGACGCCACCGGGGTGAGACTTTGTGGGGAGGGAGTGGCACTCAGAGGGAGGTGGGAGGGACTGCACCAGAGACAAGTGCATCCCCTTGTGCTGCTTCCCGCCAGGCCGTGGCAGTTCACTGCATGCTGGGCCACGGCCGGACTGGCACCATGCTGGCCTGCTACCTGGTGAAGGCAGAGAAGATGAGCGGGGGCGACGCCATTCGGGAGATCCGGCGACTGCGGCCTGGCTCCATCGAGACACAAGAGCAGGAGGATGCAGTGATCCAGTTCTGCCAACGCCTTCGGTAGGTGCAGCCCCTCAACAGGGAGTCCCATTTCTGTGCCACTGCCCTGTGCTGCACCAGGGCCACGGCCAGTGGCAATGCTGTGCACAGCGAGTGGGAGGGGAGCTGTGGCTCCCAAAGCCCCGCTCACCAGTGGAATCTGTCCCACCACAGCGCTGGAGAGGACAGAAAGGAGGTGTGAGCATGGTGCCAGATCAGTTCGATGCAGACACTTGATCCAAAATGGTGGGGGGGGCCATTCCCAGCCCCGAGATGCTTCTGTCTGCCCCCTGCATTAAAAGACTCTCCTGTGGCTTCTCTCCAGGTTTGTGTGTGAGGAACCAGTGGGCAGCATGTGCGCTTGCAGCTCTGCTGGGCTCCCTGCCACACTGCTTGGCACCCCAGGCTGGGGCCTTCCTCGTCTTGGGTCTCTGCCTGCCCCTGCCCTTGGGGAGCCCTTTGGGCACAGGGAGGCAAACCCCAGAGCTGGTCACCCGCCAAAGCAGTGGTGCCACGTGGAGGGTGGCAGCTGTGTCAGCACACGGGGGACAGCCCAGGATGTTGATGCTTAAAGGGAAGCTTAGATGGAATTTAGGCATCTCTGTCCAAAAGTCCAATCCTGAAAATCTCTTCTCAGCTGTTCCTAACCTTGGTGGCATTTAAATCCTAAGTGCAAGAAGTGTCACCGTCCCCATTCCCGGGCATGTGGCACATGGCTGAAGTGCCTGGTGCACACTGGGCACAAGTCCGTGCCCTGGGCTGGCAGGGCCATTGCCTCTGCCACGCATGGTCCCCAAATATTGCTCTGAAACACCAAAATTTTGTCATCTTCCCTTGAGAACAAAGCACCAGGGTGGTGGCACTGCGCACTGCTGACAAAATGGCTGCACCCTATGGAGAGCCAGGGCTGGGGTCAAATTACTGTCTCAGGGCAACTGTGTCACCCCACTGTCCCCCTCTCCTGGACACAGCTCCTCTTGCAGGACCTGGGGTGGGACTGGTGGGGATGGAGGAGGTGACCAAGGGCATTCTTTACCAAAGAGTGTGGGGCACCCCAAAAAGCAGGGGAGAGGAAGCAACTTTTGGCTTGGCCCAGTGTTGCACTGCCCTTCCCCGATGGGGGTTCAGGGAGCACCAGTGTCCCATGAGCAATGCCATGGCACTGGTGGGTGTGATGCGCCGTCAGGACTTGGGGCCACCTGGGGCTGCTCACCTCTGCCTGCAGCCGCTGCCTGAGGCACAAGTGGCTGGGCAGGAGGGCCCAGCTCCACACGGAGGAACAGGGTCGGTGGAGAGATGGATGACATGGATGGGGCAGCTCTGTCCGGCCACAGCACCTAAGCCTGTGGGAGCTACAGGACTCACATGGGCCCATGAGATGCAGGAAAGCAGCTTAACTGCAGAATTATTACTTTAACTCCTTACTTTAGCTCTGTCCTTAATAGTCTCCCAGGCTCAGGCTGAGCCAACGGGGGGGAACTGCAGACCCCCTTGCCCTAGAGAAGGGAGGACAGCATGGGGGGCTTTGCCCTGCCATCCCCAGCCCAGTGTTTGTCACCGCTCCTGGCACTCGGCAGTGCCGAAGAGCAAGGCCCAACACAGCGCGCGAGGTCCAGCATGGCCGCACTCGACCCTTGATGCCAGGGGCTCCATCATGGCAATAGGATGCGGGGGATGTCCTGTCCCCAGTCTGCCCCTGCCCCAGGAGGCCTTCCAGAGCCCCCAGCCTGGCATGCAGCCCAGCTCCGGCTCAGCCTGGAGGGATGAGGACACTGCACTGGTGGCCATCCCTGCGCCAAGGACACATTTAGGGTGGGATTAGAGAGGAGACAGCTGGGATGGGGAAGGGCAGGTAGGGGGCTCTGGCAGGAGGGTCGTCACGGGGGGC